TATAGAAGAAAGTTACAAGAGTACACATGGTAAAGTATGCAATCCCACTGCAAATCCACACACACACACACACACACACACACACACATACACACAAACAAACACATAGAGTTTACAATTGTGCTTTCCTCAGAGTTAGTAATTTTTAACACCGACCAAATGCCAAAACCACTGAGTTACTTTACCACTTACACCCATTTTCTGACCATACCGTCTGAACATCCAGGGTGGCTTTGATTTAAATCAAGTTGCCTTAAATCATGATTTAGATCACTAGTCAGGAAGACTCGATTTAATCATGGTTTTCTACATAAAAGTGCATTCTTGTTGGTTGTTATAACCTTAATACATATTCTTGACAACTCAGAGATAGATGTATGTTTCATTTTTAGAAAGTACACACTATATATTTTTAAACAGTGATTTATTTTGAAAACTTTTCAGATTTGTTTTACAGCTCTATCAGAAAATGAATGATTTTTTTAGTTATTTCATTTACCAAAGGTAATTGAAGCAGATATTTATGCAGGCATTGGAAGGTGAACTGTCTTCAATTCAACAGGTTAATCATTAATATTTGGAGGATTTTCTTGCCATGCTGTATTAGGAGGAGACCATCACCAGATAGACATTTAAATTGTTTTATTTAACTAAAACAATGTTAAGTATTCTGGATTTTTTTCTTCAACAGCAAACATAATATTTTAACGAAACAAGTATATGTCCCTCGCTTCTCACATTTATCTCCAGACTGCTTCTCCTTGGCCATATCTATTCCGCCCCCAACAATCTTCTAGTCATGGAACTTTTTGAAACTTTGCACTTTTAGAGAGTGGTAAGGGATTGACTCTGTGTACACAAATTTGCAGAGGGACAATACGGTTGAGGTCTGTTATTTCTCACCTCTATATATTATTTATTTATTTATTTAAAAACATTTTTGCTGTTAACAAACATGTTACCTCTGGAGACACAAATCCACAGTTTAAGAACTGCAAAACTAAGCATCTCTGACGGTATATTCTAGACTGAGCATTGCGTCCCATTGGGTAAATAGAAAGATTAACCTAAATAATCTATACAGAAGCCTGTGGAATCACATAAGATTGGGTCCCTAATCCATGAACTATTGGAACTCATTTACAAAACTTTTCTTAAACATTACATGAATATATTGTCTCATACTATAGAATTAGAATTTATAATCCCTATTCCATGGTGAGATATCTTTGAGCTATGAAGTATCTTAATTAAAACTATCCTTAGATAGGTTTTTTTCCCCCTCAAAAACATTTTATAGAAAAAAAGCCGATTTAATAAAAAAATCTGATTTAAATAAAAAAATCATTGATTTTTATCCACCCTGACTTATGCTACCATTAACACCACAGCTCAATTGAGCCTAATATGCATTGACTTTTGTACTCTCACCAAGTTATCTTGACGGCTCAAATGCCACTTATATTACAGTGCAACATAATTCAATTATGTTAAATTCTTGACCAATGCTTATTGAGGCATTTCAGATACATGTCTCATTTTACAATGGTATCTTGCATGCTTTTGGTGCTAATAAAAATAAGATATACAATGAAATGCTACCAGCATGCTGCTGAAATTTTGCTGCTGCAGAAATGTATTTTCCTGGGTTATGATTTAATCTATAACTGTAGTAACCTAGCTCACAATTGGCTCATTTCTCATTGTAACCACTGGATTATTCGTCATAGTCTGCTATGAATGACCTTATAACCAAGTGGGTGAAAACAGTTTAATTTATTACTTGGTAAAACATCAAGGTCCATGCCCTCCTATGTGGAAACCCCCTTACCATTTTCCATGTGAAACTGAAATCCAGTTCTAAGTGGTCTGAAGACGGCTAACTTAAGTGCACTTCCCCCTTCAGGAATTGGCTGCTGCTTCCTCTAAGTCAGAAGGATCCTCTTTCCTCACTTTGCAGCAAGTGGTTTCCTGCGACCCTGGCCTTAGATCAGTGAGAACTGTATCTTCCTGATGCTTAAAGCTCTGCAAGGGGAAAGAGCGTTTCAAGCTCAGAGGTGAAATTTACCTCTAAAAGGCAGTGTCACAACACACCAATTTCCTGTGCCTTGATATGGCCCCATTGGTCACTGAATTAAGCAAGCCCCAATGCAACAGACATTATTGGCAATAGCCCTTTGAGATGAAACTGAACTCGTTTCAGTAACATTAAAGCAATATAGGGAAAAGGCTGCATTTCTATGTGAGTGCATGTCACAGGACATTAAAGCTGGCTTCACATTTAATAAAGTACTGCTTCCACACATCCTAGGAGAGGCAGTCACAGTGATTTGGGCTCAGAAGGCAAACAAAGCAAAACAGTGATTTGGAGAGGAAAGATTTCTCCTGCAACTCTTCCAGGTAGCCCAGACTCCTGAGCCCCTCTCACCTTTGTGAACTTCAACTCTAAGCCAGCCTGTAAGGCACTGGAAGGAAAGTGACTTGTCACAGCACTTGTGTGTGTTTGGAAGGATTAAAGAGTATCAATGGAGCCAATGGCAATTCACACCAGCTGAGGCTCTATTACTTGGATGCAGGAGTCTAGAGGTGCACCCAGTTTCTTTGGTTTAATGGCTGAGCTGCAAGCGCCTGAAAAAGACACTGGGAGTTAAAGCTAGCCAGCAGAAGCTACTTTCACACATTACTCTCCAGATGAGGTGAGAGAGTGCTAGCAAGCACCTCCATCTCTCAGAAAGGAGTAGGGGGGTTTAGCCTTCTCCTACTCAGGCCTTCTTGAATGTTCTCTTCAAATAGGGTGATGATTTCTGATCCCCACATAGATGGGAAGTATATAGAATACATTTTGTTTGTGGCAACAGGACTTATTTTTTTTATATATAGAACAAACACAGGTAGTGAAAGCAAATGCATGTATTTGGGGAAAAAGATGATTCTCTCCTCCACATTGAGAGCACCCACAACTTAGGATTTATGGCTTCCAGGTCAATTGAATTGAGAGAAACGGAATAAAGAACGCCACCATTCATGGAGCCTCCTCATTCATATTTAACCAACTCTGGACCTCTTCCTATGCAAAGCTTTAAGAAAAGGAGACATCTCAGTTTATATGCATATCATTGTTTCTGACAAGTGTACATCCATTTGGGACATCATGTTGTAGAGTTAACAAGCTATTAATGTGATTTAAGCTTGCTTTTATTTGGGTCTTCATTTAGACCAGAGGTAGGGAGAAATTTATCAGTAAATGCCAGTCATGGTGTTTTTTTTTTAAAAAGTTATTTATTTCACTTCCACATGGACAATTCATAGATTTAGGAAGACATAAAACCAGTGTGTACAAAATGTGTCACAATAGCAGACTAGAGATCATGCAGCACCTTTAGAAAAATTAAAATTCTGGAATATGTACAGTTAAGTGCCACATTGAGTATTTACAACACAGTAATTTACTGCAATTAGTCACTGAAAGTTTCTTAAAGAAACAAGCCTCATACTCCAGCTTTAGGAAGGGGAAATAGAGTACTTAGTGTAACCTCCGAATCGGTACATCCTTAGAGATGAGCTGCCAAAAACAAACAATGCACTGCCCAGAAACCCTCTCCAAAGTCCATCCTATGTAGTGAGGAGTGGTGTTCAATGTCTTTGGCAAGTATGCAGTCTGGAAGAGTTGGTAGTTGCATGATCTCTTTGTAGCCGACAGGACAGACCTTCTCCACAGTAGCATCGCTGGAAGATCTCCAGGCCATGAGAGCCTTTCCTTCGGTGTTTGGTGCATACTTGGCCTTCCTTAAGGACAGGTTTACAGATCTTGGACCAGAAGTGACGTGCACAACACAATCCAGCAGCACAGTCAGAAGAGCGGAGGCAGGTGGTACTTTCCTGACCTTTGAAAGAAGAAAGTGATTAAAAGCCTGTGGTAAATTGTCTGACTGCAACAGAGTCAAACAGCAGAGACTTGAACAAGCAATTGCAGTATAAGAGGCAGACTTTGTCTAGGGCTTGTCAGAAAATAGTTGGGGGGCGGGAAGAGCCACAGACTAGCAGCTGGATGGCTGCATTTAGCCTCAGTGCTGTCTCCGGAGCTATTTCTGTCAGACACCTCAGATGGGCTGTGCCTTAGTTAAAAGGCCTTTTACACATGGGTTTAGTACACTGCAGGAATAGGGGGAAGCCTAAGCAAGGTTTGAGGCTAACCCACCCCCACTAGTTATACTTGCTACTGTAGGAGCCACCAGGCCCCCTTACCTTTCAGGTGGTGCAACTGGGAAGGGGATGTGGTCCTTTTGGGATGCAAGTCCGGGATTCCATGGTCAGGACTGAAGCTCTCAATGATGGTCTCCTCTATCTCCCCGGGGAGAAAGTGACCTTGCTCAGATGGCACACAGATCCCTGAGAGGGGGAAAAAGGGACAGGAGTCAGCACTGCCTGGATAACAGCAGGGCCCGGCTTGAGGCTGCCACATAAGCAGGTGCGCAGCTATGGGGCAGGCGGGTGGTCCCCGCAGTGGCGCAGACACACGACCCTTGGCACCTGCAGCCACCCCGGGGCAGCCACCCCAAACAGCGCGGCACGGCCCCGCACCCCACCCCGCCTCTCACCGTTATTGCAGTAGTTGCCCGGGCAGCACATGGCGTGGCGCAGGCAGCGCTTCCGGCGTTTCCTGCAGGCGAGGCAGAGCGGGACTGCGGGGCCGGCTCCGCGCGGGGCGCTGGAGCAGAACTCGTCCGGGGCGCAGTCCTCGTCCTCCGAGCAGGTGTAAGGCTGCAAGGGAGACACAGCGCCAGTGAGGCGGGGGGTGGGCTCGCCGCGCGGGGGGCAGAGGAGCCCCGCTCACGGGGAGGTCACATACCTGGTGGGTCTCGACGGCCTGGTGCTTGTTGCCCCCCTCCAGCAGGAGGGAGTCTGCGGGCGCGGCACTGACGGAGGAGCCCCCCAGCCCGGCGCCCCCGCCTGGCAGCAGGTTCTTGATGGCGTTGGAGTTGAGGAGGCTGGGGCCGAACCCGGCACTCGACGCCGACACCGCCCAGGGGCAGCAGCACAGAGCGGCCGCCAGCGCCACACAAAGACGGGCCGCGCCCAGCAGCATCTTCCAAGCGGCAGCGAGCTGAAGCCAAGGGGTCAGATCCGCCCCGCACGAGGTAAGGGACCCGCGCAGTAGCTGTACTCCTGGTGGGCTGGGGCGCTCCTGGAGACCACAAGCCCTAGGTGGCGCAGGGAGATGTTCCGCACAGCTACTCGCTACTGGTAACTACCTGCCTGGCTGTTGCTGCCTTTATACTCCCGGGGGCTGGTTCGTGGTCCCGCCCCTACGGGGTGGGGGGAGGGCGCCAGAGGCAAAGATGGGATTTCAAAGAGAGCCGGGGGGTTGCGCTGCTGCCCCCCACAAAGCCTCCCTCATTGGCCGAGCCCCAAGAGCGGGGTTTCGCAATCGCCGCCGTGGCAATTATCGATGAATTCCCAGGCAGCTGCTGCTGCTTCCACAAGTCTCTTTGCGGCTGCGAGCTCCGAGCAGCGTCTCCCGCTGAGCTGCGGGCACCAGGGGCTGCCTGTTATGTGGGAATCGCGTACACTTTGTGACTTAATTAAATCCCTCCTTTTGAACCATGTTGTCACACAGCGCCGAGCCCCCACCCTCCCTCCGGGCCGCTGCGTGTCGCCTGTGCCCAGTATCAGCTGCCCAATCAACGTTACTAGTAACCCCAATGTGGACTTTTGTGTATTCGGGGGGGAAGCCGAACATTACTCGGCTCTGTTAGGTGTCAGTATGGCATTTAACGAGGCACAATCGTTTTCCCGGAGGGTGCTGTTTGAGTTGCCGTTTTTCACTGTAAATAATCTTCTTTGAACAAAACAAAACACACCCAATCTCCACATCAAACGATGCGTAAGAATGGAGGGCACGCTTTCTAATTACCCTTTGATGGGATATTTAGAGGGAGCCTGGCATCTGTTAGTTGCAAATTAGCGCAAGGATGGGTTATCTTGTACAAATGTAGGAAGAGGAGGTAGAGTCCGAAGCTGTCTAGTCCCCCTATAAAGCGGCGTATTTTAACTTTATTCAACTGCTTTCCTCAACTGGCAGCATTTGCCCCCTCCGGGTAACGGGAGACGCTGGTTAAACATACAACGGAGATCAAAGGCCAGTGCAGCGCCAAGCTGCCGAAAACCGTTTGCCAAAGTAAGTATCTGGTCGAAGCCCCCTAAAGCAAATCTAGGTTGATTAGCACGTAGTGATAAGGCGCGGCTGCCGGTCCTTTTAACAGGCGTTTAGGCACTGGGTAGCACTAATAGTTCATCACTTGGTGACACATAAATTAAAGGGTTATTCTGACTCCAGAGTGCAAAGGGACGAAGTTACAAAATAAGCCTTTGTTGTAAAGAGGTGCCTTAGCATCCCTCATGGGGACGGAGCGACTTGACTATTAGCGCTCCCGTGCTCCCCACCGCTCTAGTTGGATGTTCGATAGCCGCAGCAGCAAGTGTTTGTATATTGACAGGTTTCAGAGTAGCATCCGAAGAAGTGGGCTGTAGTCCACGAAAGCTTATGCTCTAATAAATTTGTTAGTCTCTAAGGTGCCACGAGTACTCCTGTTCTTCTTGTTTGTATATTGTTACTACCATTTGGCCAGGATTTCATAACAATGGTTCTTGAGCGAGCCTGCCTCGCCCCCTCTAGTTTTGGGGGGCCTTGCGCATTTAAGAGGCCTGGACTGTGAGGTTTCCACCTGCCAGGCAGGCTCTGAGCTACCAAAGAAGCCCCGTTCCGCTCTTAATGGGCTAGTAGTGCTGTTTGGTGCTTTAAAAACACGTTGCATCATCCCACTGTGGCATATGCAAGCGATGGTCTGGATTTGTAGCCTTTACTCGCACATTGACTTCAAAGGAACTGTTCAGTGCTCTAGGGTTACTAGTGTAATTAGAGGCAGGATCGGGCCTTGTAGTGTGAGATTAAACTTTCCAGGCAAGCTTATCTCGGCTAATAGGAAATAAACAAAGGCTTGGCATAGCACATTAGGGCTTTGCTATGAGGAAGAAAATCTGTTTGAACAGGGGAGCATGTCTGACGCACACTTTTTTTGCAAGTGTTGTAGCTGTGTGGACCCCAGGCTATTAGGGAGACAAGGTGGGTGAGGTAGTATCTTTCATTGGACCAACAGGATGTAAGAGACAAGTTTTGGCGCATACGCAGGGCACTTCTTCAGCTCTGGGTTTTGGTGTCTAACTGCCTATGCTGCACGGTTAAGTATTCTTTTATAATGGCGCACCTAGGGAAACCAGGGTGCTGAGGTGTGAAAAGATGTCTCCCCTCTGTATGGTAAGGTGGGCTCCCACTACAGGACTCAGTTAATGTACACTATTGGCTGCTCTGTTACTCAGCATTGATAGCTGAGCCTCTTTGCTTTAGTAGGAACTTTTAAGGCCTCAAACAGTAGAATCAATTCCCAAGAACACACAGAGTTATCACTTTATTCCCAGAATCATTTATTCCCGGCCCTGGCTGCGCGCTCTCATCCATTAAAAGGCGGGATTCCCGCCTCTCTGCTCTCATTTAGCGCAGCGCTTCCCTGGGGCCACCCTGCGGCACTTCCCATAAGACTCCCAGCCCTGTGCTTCTGCAGAGCTGTAACAGTTGGCTCCAAATCAAGCCAGTCCGCCCCTTGGTTACCTACAAGCAGAGCCAGCCGCTCGGGCTGCCCTGCCCAGGACGTGCACCAGAAGAGGCGCGCTGGCTACTTAGGAGCCCTGGAAGCGAGCGGGCTGCGCTGCACAAGCTCTGGCCATGGGCTTGGACTTCAGTAACGTGCCCGGCTAATTCCCCCCCTCCCCGCGCTTCATTAATACGGAACGGTGCCGGCCTGCACGTTGCGCAGCGCCGCAGGGTCGGTGCCGTGCCAGCCTGCACATTACACACAGACTAGAGCAGCCCCCCCCTCCCATGGCGCGGTGTCCGGTGCGATTGGGCACGTGGCAGTGCCCTCCCTCCCCCCACTTGTGGGGCTGGTTCGCAGCCCTCTGGGCCCCGCGGGCTGGGGCTGCAGGGGACCCGGCTTGCCTGGCTTCCCGCACAATGCGGCGTCTGGCGCACTGGCTCGGCAGCTGATAGGGCTCAGCGCTGTCTCTGGGGCCGGGACTGTGTTTGCTCAGCGTGTCAAGCGCGGCTTGCTGAGGGCTCGCTTTGATAAGCGGAGATCAAAGGCGCCGGGGACCCCAGGTCTTAATCAGCTGAGCCTCGATGGCGAGGCCCCAAACAGTCCGTTTGCTCGGGCTTTGCGCAGCCAGTCTGCTCAGCACAGCCTCGGGGCAGCATCTGCCTGGCCGCAAATCTATTCACACGGCAGTGCGCGCTGTTGGCTTGCAGTGTCAGTCTCCGGCCGGCCAAATAGACCCACAGCCCTCTGCCTGTGTGAGACAGGATGGGGCGGATTGGCTTGAAGCGTTTCCTGGGGACTTGCAGGGCACTGTCTGGCAGGGGACAGTGAAAAGTAACGATCTCAGCGCCCTCCTGTGGTCGTTCAGCGTCAGCTTGCAAAACACCTGCAAAACGCTGGGCAGGGTCGGATTAATCTTCTGTGGGCCCTGCGCCAAACATATTTGTGGGCTCCCGTGTAGTGAGCATGATGGTGCCATGGTACTGCTGGGATGGGGATGAAAACATTTATTCAAAAACTAAGATATTTGAAGCCATGGTTGATTGAGACCTCTATTCAGCCCATAGAGAACAAAGTGGGCAATCATCAGTATACCCAGAATATTCTTGATTTTTGGTTTACTTGTGTGGGAGGAGTTGTTTGTCTTTTTTGTTTAAACACTCAGGGCCTGCTTGGGGACCTGAACACAAATGTTCATTTAGCACAGTTATGAGCCATATAAAACTCGGATGTAGCAGTCAGTGGAGTTGCACCTGCATCTCCACCTCACCCCTGCCACCTAAAGTGATGTTTCACAAATACATTTTTTGAAAGCTGGATTTTCTACTTTGATATAATAATGTTTAAATATTAAAAAGAAAAGTTTCTTTAGCCTATTTCTCCCTTTGCCTCACCATCCCTCATGACTTTAAGCGAAACAGTAAAGTTACTGGGCTGGAGTGTGGGGAGGAAAATTGCTGGTGCCTGTCTTTTGCAGGGAGAAAGGGCCAGACAGACAGACAGGTACACATGCACTTACAACAGGGCTCGGTAACGTTCGGCATGCGGCTTGCCAGGGTAAGCACCCTAGTGGGTCGGGCCAGTTTATTTACCTGCTGACGCGGCAGGTTCGGGCAATTGCGGCCCCCACTGGCCACGGTTCGCCGTCCCGGGCCAATGGGGGCGGCGAGAAGCGGCGCGGGCGAGCAAT